GAACCCACGCAAACACGGGGAGAACATGCAAACTCCACACAGAAAGCTCCCCGCCGTTAATCATTAAATTGAAAAAACAAAATAAAAACAAAGAACCTTTAGAAGTGACCAAATCAACAAACTAGTACATTTTTTAAAAATAAAAGGAAGAATTCACTGGAAGAGCTGAAAAAAAACCCCACAGAAGATGACAAAAGTGGATGATGACAGGCTCAAAAGGTTGAAGGACGTCATGAAGGATTTGAATGTAGCTGAATGAAGGTCGATGAAGTTCATAATTTGCAAAATGAACATTGCACTGTATTTAATAAGAGATTAAGTCTAAAAGCTCATCAGGTCGAGTGTTTGGTACATTTATTAGACCGCCTGTCATAACAGCAAGAAAACACAAGTTATTTAGAAAAAGCTGTTTAAAATAAAAATGATATTTATCAGGTAAAAAACAAAGTGAATTCTTGTTTTAACACCCAAATCTGAGCGGACACAACCACCAAAATAATTTTTCTGTTCAAGAAAGCAAATAAATGATGGAGAATCTGGCATCTTAATCAAAAACTAATAATGTGCATTACTTTGTTTTTCTGCTGTTTCTAAAAGAGTAAACTTCAAAATGTTTGGATAACAACAATAATTATATTTTAGCATGAAAGAATATGATTAAAGAGCTTGCACACACTGGTGGAGTAACCATTACAAAAACATAAAATTGATTTTGAGAAGCACCAATACTGTTAATTCAGAACATCTGAGGATTAAACCTCACACTGGGTGATGGTCTAACAGGTTTTGTAAGCACTACATGTTTGCTGATCTGATGGGATGTCCTTCCATAGACAGCATTTTGAAACCAGAGGAGATGCCCCCTGCTGGCTATTAGATGGAATTCAGGTCTAAGACAATTTTACTTTGGCTTCACTTTAAGAAGCATCTTTTTTATATATAAAAATAAACACCGTACGGGTGGACACAACAGATAAAATCAATGAGGGAAAAATATCATTGCACTGGTTCTGGCAGCTGCAGCTTATTGGATCATTCTGCACAGAAAGCTCGTGATCGCTCAGAAAAGCCTTTGATAAGTCACTGCAGTGAAAACAGAAGAGCCCTGTGATTAAAAAGGAACATCTGCACCCTCATCCTGCGATATTACTCTCTCCTTTTGGTTTCTCCTCCACCAAATTACCTCCATCACACATCCAGCGTGACGTAGTGACTGAATTCAGAGAAATTTACAAGATGTTTAAAATTCTGCTTGTGTTTTCAGCCTGTGTGTCATTTACTCTGATGTCATATACTCTGATGGGTTTTCTTGTTGTTCTTGCCAACACTTTCTACTGGAATTATCACTCAATGCGACTTTTTCTTCATCACATATTAAATTTAAATCTCTTCTAAATTCGAGCATTTATGGACTAAAGCATCCTTTAAACGAGTCATAAATCTGTCAAATGTATAAACTCATTTAGTTCAGTTAACTGATGGTTAGCCAAATCTGCTCACCTGCTTTGGTTGTATCAATCCTGCAACAATCATGCAACTTTAAATTAATGCCTTTTAAGTCACAACAACAGCATGCTTTCATAAATACTTTTAAAAAAGAGCTTCCAAATTTATTTATTAGCTGTGCCGTGACAGACTGGCAGCCTGGCCAAGGTACGTCGGATGAGATACTCTCCAGGTGTTCTCCTACGCCCCATTCCTACGCGCCAAAATTGGATTTTTGTTGTTTTAAAAGCCTGAACAGGTGACACGTTTTGAAACTACTACAAAGGTTGAAAAGAAACTGGATAGATTTGTAACAGGTGTGTTTTACAAAAGCTAATGGACGTGATCTGAACACAAAAGCACAAATTGCCAGAGCCAATTTGCCTTCCACTGCAGGAAGTCGAAGGCGTCTCAATAAAAGCCGCTGCGTTTTCACAATGCCATTTAAGAGACCCTTAAACAGGCAAACGTGTGATTCCACACGGAGGACAGATTGAGATTGAGTGAACTAAGATTTTCAATAGTCTAAACTTTGAACGTGTGCAGCAACCTGAAGTCACAGTGGAGGCTGTTTAAACAGTAATGAAGATTATTTCCAATAATGAAGCTGCCGTGGTGCTCTGTGCACAGTTGTTACACAGCTGACAACTATTCATGGAAAACATAAAAGACTTTTTTTTATCTTTGCCATCCTTAAATATTCAAACTCTAAGTCAGGCCTCGAGGGCCGGTGTCCTGCAGGTTTCAGATGTGTCCTTGATCCAACACAGCTCATTTAAACGGCCAAATTACCTTCTCAACATGTCTTGAAGTTCTCCAAAGGTCTGATAATGAACTAATCATTTGATT